TATATAACCTACTGACGTTGGTAAATTGTATACAATATAAGGAAATTTTAGCATTTGGTAGAAAAACATAAAAATAAATATTTTCAGTTCTTGTTTCCATGACAACTATTTTATAAGCATGGATGGCACCAGTACGTGTATGCTACCAATTTCTAAACTTTCAGCCAATTTGAAGTTCAACTTTTAAAGTTATAGATGAAATCATTTTTCAATTTCTGACAACAGATTCTGTGATGTCATACTTTACCCATAATCCTTTGCTTGAAAATCAAGATGGCTGACTACGTAATACTGATGAAAAGTGGAATATCTAGAGAATGAAAAGTGATACAACAAAACTGTAAATTTCATCCTCCTACATTTGTGAAGCTTTTTCTTTAGGGGCCATTATGTTGTTTGGATTGAGGTTCCCTTTAATTCCAGCTAAAAAAATATGTCACAGTATATAAATAAATAAGTAAATAAACTGTAAATATTGGATGATAGCCACCAGCTTTATTTGCCTCTTCGAACTGCAGTCATTGAAAATGAATGGAATTGAAACTGTTTGTGCAGCTAGATATCTACTTTGCCTATTGACCTCTTATCCATGTCTTATCAGTCAGTGCCACCACAGAATACACACATCAAGCCAAAAAATAATTACCGGTAGTAAGCAAGCTTTTTGACAATTGTATGCTAGTGTTTTTTTTTATTCGTTGTATTTTTTGTTTTCAATGCAAATTTGTATTTTTCTGTCCCATTTTTCTTTTAAATTCTTGTACTTGGTCTCAGTATGTTCATTTGTTGCGTCATTGAAATACTCGCAAAATAGATACAACAGGAGAATGCACTTTTCCTAGTGCCTTCTAGTGATGACAGGGCTTTTATCTGGACAAAATGACATTGATGGGTGTTTGGTTGTGTAGTCATTCTTCATATATATTACGGGAAATCTTTAAAAGTTTTATTGATGCACAACTTCATATCAAAACGATATTTATGCTTTGAATGATTTTCCTGTGACCTGTCATGACAGTAGCTTCTTATCGCTAAAGGAAGCCCTTTATACTTGTAGAAAACATGTTTTGCATAATTTGTAACTTTTTAGTCTCTGTAGTCCGAAATAAGGGACTTATGGATTTGCCTATGTGTGTCGGTGCATTCACATTCAAACCTCACATGTACATAGTACATCTTGGGATACATGTACATTCGTTTCAGCATCTGACTCAAGATGGCTGAATGGCGGCCATTTTTTATGCTTAAAATTCATCAAAATCAAGCATTTCTGTCATTCTGTATTGATTGTTTTGCTTTTCAGATTGGACTCAAAATGGCCGACTGGCAGCCATTTTTTTTAAACAGATGCTATTTCGGAGCCATCTCTGACATGCCTTGTTCAGACTTTATAGATACATCATACATTATGTTGCACGTATATCGGTATTTGTTTGACGATCTGATTCAAGATGGCCGAATGGTGGCCATTTTAATGTTAAAAATTTATTTCTGCCATTCTAGGCCAAGATCTTAGTTATATACTGGTATAGCTATATATTGTCCATCTCGATACATACAATAAACATGTATACATATAAATATGTAACAGAACCATAATGTTTTTTTCAGATCGGATTTAAAATGGCCAAATGCAAATTCTGTTATAGAGTAATGTATCTGACATACATTGAATGATCGTATCAGACTTTACAACTGCATTATACATCATGTAATTTGTTTCATGTGCTTATTTCAAAATGGCTGACTCATTTCATTTTTATTGTTTTTACTGTTTAACTTATAAATGCAGAAACTGTATTGTCAAGACTTGTTATTTGTGATCTTTATTGATACATTGTTTCAGCTTTTAAAGTTATTCTCTGAGATCATACATTCATAGAGCTTTATAGAGGCCCTGGAACTATTATGTGACATCTTTGATCGTCTCAATTTGTTGGGAATGTGAGTTATATATAGTTAAATGTTCAAATTTCTATATTTTAGCACATACAAATGGTGGATTTCATTTCAGCTTTTGATTGTCTGTTCTAATATCTTTTGTGCACATTTTGAATAGTGTTCCAAGATTTGCTTCTGTTTCAGAATTTCTGCGGCCGTGCAGAATCCTGGAGAATCTATTTTTCTTACAATCCACACAAATTCAGACTATCATATATTTCACATACAAGTTCCTTGACTCCAATAAAGCTCTATAAATTGTCTCAGATTGAAATTCTAATACTGTGGAATACTTTATTTTCGCTGGAATTAATTTTCGCTGAAAAGGCTTTTTGGGCGTTTTGCTTGGAATTTATTTTCACTGATTTTTCATGAGTTTAATGTGAAATATAGGGAATAAAGTATATTCGCTGGATTTTATTTTCACGGAATCATCCCTTCAGCGAAAATAGCGAAAATAAATTCCAAGCGAAAATAAAGTATTCTACAGTATATAACTTCTTTTGTATAGTGTTTTATTATTGTTAAACACATCAATGATTTCATTGGTTTTGCTCATTGTGTATTGCCACATTTCATCATTTCAACAAAGTCAGAGATTATATTTTGTAGAAAAGTAGGTTGGATGAATCAAATCAAATCTTAATTCAAGAGTAAATTAATTGTAAATTAAAGATTATAAAATTTGAGTTTGTAATTTTTCATACTTTTTTTTTTTCAGTGTTTTTAAAACTTGTCCAAGTGCCTTTGATGGTGATTTTTCTGCCAAAAATTTTAATTTCATTTTCTCCCACAAGCATATATTTGTTTTGTACCAATATTTTTGTTTTACTTGATATTTGAGGGTTTTAATAGAACATTTTAAATTGTACTGATGTACTATAAAGCCTTGAGTTCTTAGAGAACAGAACAAAAAAATGAATTACTATTTAATGGTCCGTAATAAAGTCAATATGTATTGTGCTTAACAAATTAAGCATTTGTGTAAATGAATTTTAATCACCCTGACTGAAATAAGGCATTACATTACATTGAATAGTTGCATAATTTGCGTTTCTGTTCATGTCGCCCACAACATCTGAACAACACACAAGTAGTCCCTCTGTATACGACTACAAACCCACTATCCACCACCAGAGGGCGCAGCTCATCGTATAGTATAAATAGTAAAGTCAAATGTATTGATCTATATTTCTGTGTTGTGAGATGCAACTACAAATGACCATCTATATTTTTGTGTCAATTAAATATAATATTAGATACTGTGAGAGACTCTGCTGAATGAATTATATTTAGAACACGTAGAAGCTACAACACCCTCTACCGCCTGAGGGGACACCCAATTGTTCAGTGTTCGGTGTTATTTCTGAGCTTTACATCCTATGTTGACAGTTACTAAGAGTTTACATTTGTTAATACTACTTACTGTTATTTATGCTGCGCCGTTACTTTTGCGAGTTTCGCCATCTGTACAACCAGATATGAGGGACTTTCCCCCAATGTATGGCATTGCTGTATTCCCTGGATTGTCGTCACGTTGGATTGGTTTCACACTCTGTGCGTATAATAAACTCAGTTATTAAGCATCCTTTTTTGGGGATGTGGAAGTGGTTCAGTCAGAAGCTAATCAGTGTTTGTGTGTAGAATTTCTTACTCTGCCCAGATATATCAGGACAGATCTCTCGATAACAGGAAACAAATGTGTATTTTGAATTTTCAATAGCCTGCTTTTATCATTTGATCAATGGAGGCGCCATCGTGGATAACTAGTGAGTTCGCCAGAACCCACAGCTCGGGCATTTTCGCAGTATATGCCTGAAAGGATCGGGACAGAATTGTATACCAACCAATCAGCCAGCGCATGCAACGTGATGTGGCTCATAGGGTGACTGAAGGGATCCAAGTACTAGCAACAGCAACAATAAATAGGATACTAATCTTGGTGTGACTTTGAACATACCAACTCTTTTATAAACACATTACATCATCCACTGACATGACTCACCTCTACCTGATCTTCAAACGGTGATATTTTCTTTGATATGTGTCACTGTTTAGGATGCATTTCGTTCTATGTTAGCCACATGGTAGAGAAATGTGGCATAGAGGGATAGAAAAGAATGTACATAGAACGAAGAACACAAATCGAAAATATGTTTTTTCACATTAGGAAAATATAGTCTGTAACTTGCCAAGTACGTTATATACCACTAATTGTGACTTTGACAATATTGTTACTGTTAGATATTGCTTTCTAAAAATGAATGTACCTTGACTATACTGAACAGAATACAGTGTTATATGTGTAGAAAATTGGCAACGCTACTACATTTGTGTACATATTTATTTATGTATTGGTAGAAATTGATGGATTCTCATTTTGAAGATTCTACAAACCAAACGTCATTTTTATTTTCTATCGGGTTCCTGTTATGTATGTCCTATACTGTCTTGCCAAGAACCTTTAAAGTGGAGCTGTTGGGATATGATCTAGGTATGAAGCTTCGAGCAGTGATTGCTTGATGATTTTATGAACTTCATCAGTAGAGATAAGTCGGAAAGGTGAGATAATGAAATGCGGTGATCAAAGAGACTTTGACTACTAGAGCTACTAGAATTATCTGCATCCTGGTTGTGTTTTTAGTTACTTGGACACATATATGTGCTGTTTAACTGAATAATATGAGTGTAGTGAAGAATTTAGGCAAAGTACTAAGCTAAGCAAGGTTTCCCCATTATATTGAGTTATGTTAGTATTATAGTAGTTTTGGCATTATCCCTATGCACAGTTGATCCTAATAAATGTGTCTCAAGTTTATGCGAGGGCTATTTCAGCTCAATTCAGAAATGAAGACAGTGGGAGACGTGATGGACGTGATGAAGAAATGATGAAGGCAAGATAATAGGTGATGAAGACATAGGGATAGTTGACGAATACTATTTCACGATTGTGAAGTATGCAACCACTATGGCTTCACTGCGCTGAATATCCGGGCTGAATACAGGTAAATACAAAATATGTACCTTATCTACGGTGGCGTGTTAGGGCCATTCACTGTTTTTAGATTTTCTTACATTTTCATCTGTATTTTTCGGATTTCACTTTGATTTACACCTCGGTGGAAATAATAGTTTCCTGATAAATATTTTTGCTAAAATGGAATGTCACTTATCACGCATTAAATCGGTAATTCTTTACAAAAAAAATAATATTGTTAACTAAAATGTATAGCTATAGCGCCCTCTATTATTTTTATGTTTTTTTTTCTCGTTGTTATTTACATCTTTATCTTGTATAGTTATTTCGTATTTATTCTGACTTTATTGTGCTTCGTCTAGAATTCCCGACGAAGCTTTAGTTTTAAAGCGAAACGTTGAATTCAAAGTTATCGATTTTTGAAAGAGATTACCAGTTGTATTGGTTATTTTGTCATTGCTCCCATTTTTTTTATTATAGTTTTTTTTCTTTATTTCGTTTCATAATGGGTTAATTGAACTCAGTGAGAATACGAAAAAGATGCGATCCACTTTGAACAGGAACAAAACTGTTGGATTTTAGTGACATATTCACGCACACATACTTCCATATTCTGAACTAGGTTACTTTCTCACGACAATAATGGAAGGCGCCCTCGGCGGGTAGAAGATCTTTTCTTACGTCTTTATGAAATCGGCATTAAAGGCACACTTTGAACCTTTACCCGTTTGAACTCAGGTGAGCCATACTGAATATAGAACAAAATACGTCATGAAAACTAGATGCCAACCTTGTAAATATTGTCTACAATGTTCATATGATTTTTCCGATTTAAATTTATTAAATACTGTACTTTTCAATAACTACATACATACAGTTCTCTTTAGTGCCTACGATTTTTGATATACTATCTCATAGGAAACACAAAAAATAGGTTAAATACATCCAAAATAAACAAAAATGTTGATATTTTGGCATATATTTGTGCACCAAATTAGTCCTTTCTGACTATTCTCCTATGCTATTGAGAAAATCAACATTTAATTTAAGTCAGCATCACCTAGAACGAGGTTTCTGAAATGTAAGCATAATAATAATTAATTTTGGGTAAACTTAATTAAACTGAGGTGGAAGAGAACGCGAATCTGTAATTTATTCAAAAATACTAGTACTGATCGACATTTCCCATGATTCTTGCTAAAAAAAGCGGCAAGAAATAAAGAAAACCATGACATTCTATTTTTCTAAATCTACTCAAGTATCAATTTGGAGATATAATACTCACTCCACATGTTCCATAATTTTAGGACATAGAAAACAAAAGCATGTTGTATTCGAAAAATAGGTTAAATTCTTGGAAACTTCGATTATAGCTAACAGAAAAATTAATATACAACATGTGGGAGGTGAAATGCAATCCCCAATGAGATATATAGGTTCGGAAACAATTAACTGTCACCTTGCATGTGTCTCATTTCCAAATTGTTGCTTGTTTCAAAATGTTGAATGTAATTTAGATTCATCATTCGACGCTTCATATTGAATCGGTTTGTCGGTTAAAGAGTGCCGCGCACAAAAAAAGGGTAGAGCCCCTCCCCCTAGACTCTACTCTCTGTATATAACTGAATGGACGACCAACACGTATTATCTCCTGCAGCAAGGAAAGACTCGTAAAAATGTATATTGTTGACGACAAAAGGCTCTTTTTATTGTGTCTTCTGAATTGACGATCGAGGCGGCGTGTAGTCGGGTCTGTCGCAGCGTTCTCACTCAGTTCCAATTTTTCGTACAACATCTCATCGGTCATTGTGTACGGAATCTAACCGTTTGCCAAACTTTTCTGCTGTTACACTTACGTCGCGTACTAAAGTTTGGAAGTGTGCGTGTGTTTTCACTCAAAGCTGAATCATCAGAAACTAGAAAATCAGAATCATAAACAATTTCTGGTTAAAGTGATTGAAACTATATATAGTGACCCACATTTCAAAGTTCACAGAGTAATCGAGTGATTCGCTGTTTGTTTATCGGCCCACCACGTGAATGTCATTGGACCCATTAGCATGTTCTGACAGACTGATATCAAAAAGTTTTCCCAGACACACCATATTAAGAGCAACCAGGCGCCTCTGGAAGCATTCACGTTTCTTCCATAAAACAATATCGGGATTATTTGGGGTTGTATATCACTACTGGTGCTCAGTAGCAGATACTGGGAACATTGGGGAGTATATAACATCGTCTTTTTCAATATCAAGATCTTTAAAAATAAAAATACATTACATTTAGGTTTTACTTGAAAAAGTTCTCGGTAAATAGGTAAGCGTTGGAACCCCCTCCCCTCCCTCCCCATTAGCAAGTGGCGTTAGGTACTGCGAATGAAACCCAGAATGTTTCTAATGTCGTTGTTTAAACTCAAGGAACATGTTGGGTTTGGAATAGAATGTCTAGAGCAATAATTTACACATTTGCGCCGAAAATATTGAAATAAATATGAATTATATGTTTCGGGATTTTTTTTATATTCACTTTCATATTTAACATTACTAACTGCATCCTTCCCATGGGAGCCCCCGTCGCATGGGACACACGCACCGTCCAGTCTGTACTGTAATTGGATTTCGAAAGCAGAGGGTATACAAAGCAATACGTAGGCAATCATATGTGAAGATGCCGGTGAGTATGGTTTCTCTGGGATAAGATTTGCGGTCTAGAATCCGGGTCGGCACACCTGTAAGTACGTTCTGGGTGGCTAAACATCCAAGATCACGCTTACGATAGCCGAGAAAATGTGTCAGGTTCTGTGAGCATTCGAATGATTATACCCCCCCCCCTCGCCAACACATTCATCCTAACACGAAAACACACACGCTAATTTACTATCGCAGCTTCCAAACTTGTTTGATTTATTTTGAATGGATCAACGTCTGAATTCAAAATACAAACATTTATTGAGTTAAATGATAGCACTCAGAATTTATCCTAGGTGAAATAAGCCATCGAGACGGATGATCGTACCTGTCTGACCTTCCCTCCAGCCTCTGCCAAATGAGGCGTCGGTAAGTCTGGGCATATCGTAATAGCCACCTCAAGTCGACAAATACCGAATAATACGAGCCAAACTAACAGACCGAATAATCTGCACGCAACAGGGTAGTTAAGTTTATTGCTGGGAAGGAAACTGTTTCTTTCGAATCGGCAACAATTTGCGAGTTCGCCCAGACGAAAAGATAAAATCATTAATTAGAACGCGCGAAAACGACAATGGCCCTCAATTGCTGAGCGCCCTCGTCCCGAAGTCTGAAAACCTACACTATGACAGCTACTAGTATATTTGGACACGGACGATGGGCGCCTCTGTTTACAAATAGGGCGACTGTTGATAACGGCGTACTGACATCGGGTGCAGTCACGTGACATTCTCAAGTGACAGAACAAACAGCATGTTTCATAATATCAAAAGCGGTTTGATACAGTCACGAGTAAAAGCTATTTAAGTTTTCTTCGCAGACTCAGTAACACGAGGTTTCAATAAAATGGCGATTGAATTAAAACAAATACATTGAATGACTTTTAGCAGGTACATCTTTTTTCGTCAAAGACTTTGACTTCGCTACGTAATCATCCAGTTCAACGACTCGAAATGTCAGAATAATGATTCCAGTGTAGTATATTGCATTTCTCAATACGTAAAATTATCAATTGTTTGTCAATAATGTACAGTCTCGCCGATTTTTATCAATATATTGTTTTTATTTTATCTTTCGGAAACTCGTCATTTTCTTATCTGCGCAATTCAGAATGATAATGTTATTATTATTATCAAAATTCCATCGCATTTTTGAAAAAGAATAATCGTAATCCTATTTCTATAATAAATTTAAAATATAAATAAGATTAATACTGATAACTTCGGTCAATGCCTGTTAACTGCCGCCTCATTACTCCACGTTCAACGTTTGGAGACGCAGTTGAACAATTAAACATGAACAAAACTAAAATCACGAACGTTGATTTTTCCCGTGTATAATTTTGTATTAGTAGTTTGGACAGAATCCTGTCGCCACCGTAATGGTTCGCCGGGGAGCGACGGAGCCGGACATGAGCAGGTTTCTGGGAAACACTAACATTTTCTGTTGCCATGCAACTACGCGCGAAATCCTCAGTACCAGTTACCGTTCGTTTATAAAATGTCGTCAAAATAGCGTTCCGTCTGTAAAATCTGAACTTAATGAATCATGGCTATTTAAAAATCGTTATCGGACGAATTGTGATAGAACTGAATTCAATAGTTGTAACCAAAGACTTTTTTTGGGGCGAAATAAAATCTCGCGGGTCTCTCGCTTCGACTTTTTTTGTAGGAATGAATAATATCATCATAAAAAAGCAATGCCTTCCTTCCCCTGCTTTATTTAGTAACATGGTGTTTTATCGTCTGCTCCCAGAAGAATGGC